GCATGCATGTGTGTATGTATATATCTATATATAATATATATATATATATAGAGAGAGAGAGAGAGAGACATATATACAGATATACAAACACATGTAAATCCCAGTGCCAAGAGCAACTTAAGCTGCCCAGCAAGCGCTGCGTGGCAGGTTTGGGACTACGACAAAGCCGGAGGAAACGACCTCCTTGGCGAGTACGTTCTGGAGGGTCCTCACTTCCACAAGCCAGGCCAGGAGTGGCACGAAGTACACTGATAGTAATCCATACAGCAACCCTTGCCTCATAGTTGCATCCCTGAAGAGAGACCGTAAAATGCCCCTTATAGTAGCCCTGAAAGCATCCCTGACAAACCCTTAAGCCCCCTAGTAGTTCCGATTCTAGCGTTTAGGGGGCTGTCACAGGCACAATTTTTTTGGCCGTTTAGGATTTCGGGGTTCGAGGGTGAACTGTCCTCCCAGGCGCAGAGTTTAGGGCTTATAGGTTTTTTGGGGTTTCGGGTGTCTGTTGGTCTTTGAGGGTTTAAGACTTTCAGGGACAGCTGGGTTAGACAATGACAGGATCGTATCCAGGCTCGTATAGTCAGGGACTTGTACTCTAAAGCCCTAAACCCTAAGCCCAAGGGCCATGCACCTCTTACAAAGTCCAAACCCAAAGGGTCCAAGTACCATCATAGTAGGTACTTAGTAGGTATTTGGGCCCCAAAAGCATATACTATACTAGTACTTGGACCCTTTGGGAAAGCTCTCAACGAACACACCCTGAGATGAGTGTGTATTGGCAATGAGACTTCTTGGCGCAGGGCTTGTAGGGGATTCCTGGTCGAGATGTCCGTTTTCAGCCGTTGGGTCCATGTTGGGCCTGCTTGCAATCTTTATACCCTGCACCCTAAACCCCTACAGCCCGAAGCTTTACACCCTAAGCCCCATAGTCTGAAAGCCCTAAGCCCTATATCCTTCATCCCAGACCTCTACACCCCTAAACTCTTAAACCCTATATCCTTCGTCCCAGACCTCTAAACCCCTAAACTCTTAAACCCTATAAACCCTCAGAGCCCTAAACCCTCGAGAGCTGTCCAGGAGGCTTTGATGGGGAGTTGCCTCTCGGATTGCAGTTGCCTCGCAAAAGGGGGCCGTCTTCTCTTCTGCAGAGACGTCACGTAGGGTTGAGGAAGTTTAGGGTTTAAGGTTTAAGGTTTAGGGGTTTCGGGGTTTAGGGGTTTAGGGGTTTAGGGTTTAGGGCAATGTATGGTTTGGGGCCTTTTGGGCCTTCGAGTCCTTAGGGTTGAGGTTTAAAGGTAGGTTGTTTTTGCTCTAAGGAGACGCTTTTGCCATGACCCATAGCTATTGCTGAGGATTCCTTGGTATGCCTATTCTAGGGGTTGAGGCAGCAACAAAACTCCCTACAGTTTGCAGTCAGTTGTGGACCCTATAACCCTGTACCCCCCCAAACCTTAAACCCTGAACCGTCAGCGCCTTCGCTATTCATATATCTATATATGCTTATTATCATTCTTATTATTATCATTGATATTGTTCTATAATAAACCCATTGCCCAATCTACTTACCATGGATCTGGAACCAAAACACTTTGGCCCGAGTCTACTGTGCCCGGTAAGGAGATAAGCCTTCTGCACTGGTTTAGCGGCTACCGTAAGAAAGAATCACAGCTGCTAGGTCTATTGCATGCAAGATTACCGGCAATGTGGGAAACGCAGTGTTGACAGTGATCATAGCCCTAAACCCTAAGCCCCAAACCCTAAACCCGAAACCCTATAAACCCACTGATCATGGGGCATCATCTCCACCGTCACCACCATCACCATCATCGGCAAGCCCTGGACCCTTAAACCATCTCAAACCAGACCCTAGACTCTAAGCCTTGAAGCCCCAAACCCCTAAAGCCCTAAACCCCCAAACCCTAAACCCTAAACCCCTAAACCCCTAAGCCCCTTAACCCTAAACCCCCAAACCCCTAAATCCCTAAACCCACACCCTAAACTCTTCAACCTCTATAAGCCCTGGAGCCCTAAACCGAGGAACCTCAACCCTAAACCCTAAACCCTAAACCCTGAACCCTAAACCCTAAACCCTAAACCCTAAACCCCTAAACCGAGGAACCTCCAGTGCCCCGACCCCAAGTATGCGCCGGTGCTGAGCGTGAAGATCCTCGTAAGGGAGCTGGAGGAAGCTGCCCAGGCGTTAGGGTTTAGGGTTTAGGGCTTAGGTTTTTTAGGGTTCAGGGGCCATAATAAGGAGAATGTGGGGATTTGGGATTTTAGTGGAATTTGGGTTCTGGAGTTTGGGATGTGTGTTTGGGAGCTTCGGGTCTGGTAGACCACAGAGTAGATCACCCTGATATCCGACATGGAAGACACTTGGGGTGATCGTGCGCGTGGTTTAGAGGCTTTCGCAGATTTAGGGCTTAGGGTTTAGGGTTCAGGGTTCCAACTGCACATCGGATGGCCGACCTTGAACTACCATTCGGGTCCCTGCGCAGTCTATGCGGGGGATTGCTACCGCAAGGGACGCATAAGCGATGGCATTAAGAGACGGCGGTTCTCAGAGAGCCCTGCCGTAAAGCCCTTTTGAAACTATGTTTCGAGATTGCGCATAAAGTAGGGGTCGGAGTAATTGCCCCTTGATAGTGCCGAATACACTTGTACCCGACTATACTACACTGTACCCCAATCAAAACTCCATTTTCAATGATTCTGTTGATCACGGCCTCTTTATCAGAGCCCTGAGCGATGAGCACTTGAGCCTTGCATGAACCATGCTCCTGATGCTGCAGCAGAGGCAGGTTGGGAGTTTCCGAAATAGGGGGTCCTTATTTTGGGGGGGTCCTTATAATAAGGATCCTATTATTTTGGGGTACTATATTAGGGTCCCCTATTTTCGGAAACCCCCAGTTTGGTCACTCATCCTGATCATAATGATCGTCGCAGTAGAAACAGAAGCTCGAAGCCTAGCAGACCTTCGGTTCGCAACCAAGAAGAAACCCCTAAAACCTCCAACTGCATACCTTCATGCAGACGCCCTAAACCCTACAACCCCTGACCCTCCCAAATCCCAGACACTCCGAAACCCAAAACTCCGAAACCCCTAAACCCTTCAACCCTAAGCCCTAAAGAACCCCTAAAGCACCCTCAAAGCGAACCCAAAAGAACTCTAACGTACCCTTTAGAGATTCCGGAACACTAGGGCCTCCTAAACCCTAAACCCTCCAAACCCAATAAACTCCGAACCTCTAAACCCGTAAACCCCGAAACCCTAAAACCCTAAACCCTAAGCCCCTAAACCCTCAACCCCTTAACCCTAAACCCCTCAACCCTGTTAACTCTTAACCCTAAACCCGAAACCCTAAAACCCTCAACCCGAAACCCCAAACGCTTAACCCTAAA